CATAGAGATTTCGGTGTCTTGCTCTTGCGTGCCACCTTAACAGGACAGGATATGGTTTTTGGGTCAAGAAAAGTGGAGTGGGGCAGAATAAATTAAATCCTTTACCTTTTATAAGTCTATCATATGAAATTAATCTCTTCCTCTGCGGCTGACGGACAGTGAGACAGAGAATGGACGGAGGTGTAGGAGAAATCACAAAAAAGCTTTAAAGGCCAGACGTCAGACGTTGACGACGCGGGGGTTGAAATGTTAGACCTGCAAAAAGGACTCGTAAATCAAGTATTTTTCCTTGTAAAATCCTTTATGAAAATCGAGGTCAACAGGCCGCGCTTTAACAGAACTATCGGATTTTACAATGCCGGGCCCACGTGTGGGTATTTGTAACTCGTCAGAGAGGATCAACAGATCAAACGCCACCGCGCTCTCGTTGACTCAGGACTCTTATCACACGGGCCTTTTATTGAATTATAAGTCAGATGAGCCGCCGCACTAACCGCACGTCCCGTATGGCCCCGCCCCGCGTCCAAACCCGGAGCGGGGTCCATTATTCTGTACATAATGTACAAGCCGCGGTCGAGCCGCACGTCCACCCTTTACCCCAGTGAAACTGGTGAATGGGTTTTAAGAGGCGGCCGGAGGCAGCTGTCTTTTTCTTTTCGGCGTCGTTAACCACTGAGTTGTGACAGTTTAACGTTCATATAAAATGATTTGACATTATAGATTGTAAACAAGCTTATAAAAGAGGCGAAAGAGAAACAATGGGCTGCCATAAATCCACAGCCGGTGCGGTGGTTAAGTGGTGATTTATGAGAAGCTCAAAATCTTTCAAGATCACTTTTACTTCAAAACGTTGACATTGTTTTTAACCTAAATGTAAAAAAAAAATTTAAAAAAATTTAAATTGTGTTTTAGGTTCAACATGCCAAAGTTGTGGTTTAAATTAAATGAAGTTTAACTACAACAATTACAATATAATAAATATAATAATATACAATCTACAGCTACTGGTGTATACCCACCTATCATTATATAGATTTTTTTTTTTTTTAATTTAACATTAAAACACTTTAATATTCTCTTGTCACACATAGAAAAGGTCAAAGGTAAATGAGGGAAAAAAAGCGACACGTAAAGGTCACAGGGACAGCCAAACGACGAGACAATTGAAGTGAACTGTTAGGACATGTGAAGAAGACGTTAACACTCACCGAGGCTCTGAGGAGCGTGGCCTTTGTTGTTGTAGGCAGCCTGAAGGCCACTGTGGGCAAAGAGTCGGGCACTAACGAGGGCCAAATGCAAAAGGAGCAAAAGCAACAGTTTCATCCTGACTCTGAGCTGCTCCGTCCGTATCGCTCTCTGTCCTGCGACGTTCACGACGGGACGCCTGTCGAGCTGGCAGCAGCAGCAGCAGCAGCAGTGGCGGAGGTGGTGGTGGAGGTGCTGTGTCCTCTGAATCTAACCTGTGACTCTGATGTCTGGTTTCCCTGCCTCTGGCTCCCACTCTGCTCCACATTGATATTTATGTGAGAGGCAGGCTTACACAGGCTCAGTATACGCCCATCTTTGTCTTCATGCCTTTCACAGAGCAACAATTGAGGACATGGTGAGAAAGTTTTGGGTTTTTTTTTTTAGTCTGGGAGAAAGAAACAAAAAGGGAGACTCATTTCTCAATTTCTTGCAAATGAAGGAGAGGAATTCTAAGGGTATTTCATGAAAACCAACGCTCGTTTTTTTTAATTGATAAATTATTTATCTATCTATCCACTACTGACCGACTAATCTACAGATTTACTAACATCCACTGGTCAGGTTTCCCATATTCACTGATAGTGTGCAGCTACTCATGTTTGTATTTTAACTATTTGTGTGTTTCCCAAAGGGAACTCCCGAGATCGATCGAACAATCTATCTATCGATCCATCTATCGATCTATTGATCGATCGATCTATTTATTGATCAATCGATCTATTGAACGATCTATCTATGGGACGATCGATCTATCAATTGTTTGATCTATCGAACAATCTATCAAACGATCCATCCATCGAACGATCGTTCTATCAAACGATCCATCCATCGAACGATCAATTGATCTATCAACTTCAAAAAATAAAACAACATCCAACTTCTACAGCACACGCCAAAGACGTCCAACATAGTCCAAAACGTAACCTCTGGTCTAAGATGTTTCGCTCAACAATAGAACTTCAACAAGTGATGGAAAAGTTACGAAAAAGCATCGAGTGTAAAAAAAAAATAAAAACATCAACAAGACTGATGATGATCCAATTCAATCCAAAATACGCTGAACAGATATATTAAGAAACGGGTTAAACATTTGTGAGTGAGGAATTCTTAGATAACTTAACGAACTGAAGAACAAAGATCAGAAACAGGCCAAAACACAGAGAGTGTGAACTGCCCTTGTTTGAAGTGAAGTCTCAGATAATGAAGCCTGAATCCAGTCTCGTTTTCTAGACAGGATGGATGGGATGATATCTGTTCATAATACACAGACAGTCATGAAAATATATATTTGATCGTAGTCACAGGGAGGACAGTGACTGAAGCCAGGGTTCAAACCCATGTGGAACCATCTTTAGACGCCAGATGATAATAAGAATAACGATCACTCATTATTGACTGGGAACATCTGTGTATCGTTGGGATGTGGGTCTGGGCCAATGTAAATCTGGAGGAGCTGCTGCCTTAGCAGAATGAATCAGGACACACTGATGTATACCTGCAACTGATCGACTGGACCAGGGAACACAAATCATTTTCGCTTAATTTTTTATTTTTTCGGCCAACGTTAACCGTTGTCAGATAAAAAAAAAAAAAAAGGTTTTGCCGAGAATTATATTCACAGTTAGACATAGAGCACATGGATCTGGGGGCGTTTCGTACTGGGCTGTGATTTAACCACACGAGCTCATCAGCGTGGGTACTTATTATCTCAGTCAGAATTAAAGGATGATTGAATATAATAACATTAACGACTTTAAGGATTTTCGATTTTTCCGCATTTACTCTCTTTAAAGAATTAATTGTGCTGTGTTTTTTTTTTTTTTTTGAAGCCGAAATGTTGTCTCAAAAAACACATCGATTCAAGCAGTACTACCATAAACACATTTTGTCTGATAACATCGTCTGACCGATAATATCGACCTGATATTAGCATAATTATTTGTTTAATTATCTGTAAGAATCGTTACCGTTTTTTTTCTTTGATAATGAAAACCCGATAACGCAAATATTACCAGACCTATATTGGTATTGGTTGATATCGGAATCGGAAAATCGGAAAATAAGTGTTTGGACAATATTGCACATCGGATGTCGGCCAAAAGTTAATAGCGGACATCCCAAGTTGCAATTAAAAAAAAAGACAAAATAGTAAGAGCAGGTTTCTGCAGGAAGATCCCATTAATGTGCATGTTACTAGACCTATAGATGTTGTAAACTAAGAAGAGTTTTAAAACAGGACAAGAACAAAAAAAAAAAAAAAAGACCTCCCAGGAAGATGCGTTTACGCAGAAACAGTTGTACAGTCCTAAACAACAAGATTGTTTCGCTCAAAGTCTTCTCGTGTGACCGTGCGGTATCGGATGTTTGGGTGAGATTTAAGCCAGTCATTTCCAAGAGTGGAGAAAGTGCATTCCTTAAAAGACTTTAAATGACTCTGATCATAAGTCATCAACCGAGGGAAGGAGGAAAACAGCTACGGTCTGTCAGAGGGGGGGGGGCTTAGTGCACGTCACAAATGCACAAAAACACATAAATACAAAAAGGCACATAAGCGGCGGTGATGTGAATAGAAAACACTCAGGACGTCCCGTCTTTATTTATTTGACTGTCGGTATCGTAAGTTTCCACACCGTGTCAAGAACATCCCGTGGGAAGCAGAGACGGGATAAAGAGGGAGGTTAAAAATCATGAAAAAAAAAATATATATACTCGATCTCTGTGGAGCACAAATATATTTACAGTAATACCTCAAGCGTCCCGACATACGAGCTAGCCTTCGAGCAGAAAGTTTTTGTTCTTTGAGATACGAGTAACGATTTGAGATACGACTCTTTGAGATACGAGTAAAGATTTGAGATACGAGCACGCGTACAGACGCCGACGCTAGGTTCACTTCACGTGTTCACGTCGACTTCCGTACATTTACATCCAAAACCATTGGGAAATGATAAACAAAACCGTCGCTCTCTGACTATTCGTATATACTTTCGGACAAACAACAGTGTCAGAAAGGTCGACCGAGCTATTAACTTGATATTCCCACAGTGCACCACAGGTGAGCGTTGATATTCCCACAGTGCACCACAGGTGTGGCTGCCTTCACAGTGTACATACAGATCATCTTAAAATGTCCTTTCATTTCAAATTACCTTCACTAAGGAGTGCAGATAAAGCTGCTAATAATTATGAACAGTTTTGACAGGTCGGTCTTGGCGCCGATCATTTCACTTCCCAGAAAGTGAGATTCGACTCTGAGAAAGTAGGGATTTTGTCGGGAGGCCAAGTGCTGCTCGCGTCACTGACTCGCAAACGACAACAGCAGATATTTTCTAACAATCCAAACTTTGTTTACTATAAAAGCAGACTAGCGCCTCGGAGAAAACGGGAGCCGTTCTCGGCCGTTAGCGTCTGACGAAAAGTGATTTATTTGATCAGAACTTGCCAAAATGAAGGAACTCTATTCAAGGTCGCAAAGAAAGAAAACTCACAGCTGTCTCAAGGAAAGTCTCAGGTTACGATATCGAGACATTTTTTCCCCGAAGAAAAACGAAACGGTGCATGCAATAACAATTTGTCGCTGAAAGTGTGAACGCCGCAGCTACAAACTGCTCAGCGTTACCTCAGTTGGCACCTGGAAGATCAGCTTGAAATTCTCCTTTCACACGCCATTTTAGGGTAATTAGACACAACAAACTTAATACGTCATTCACCTTTGTTTAAATGGGTGGAGGGAGGATTAAATATTTTCAGGTATTTTATGTTTTGACACACGATCAGCCACATACTGCAGTTCATTAGTTCACCTCTCAAGCATGTGTGTTTTCGGCACGGCCTCACGTAGAGCGGGTGAGAACGCCTTCATTTTTCTTTTTTTTCTTTTTTTTTTGTGGCTCAGCAAATTGCTCTGTTTAAGAATGCCTAGCAGGACGACGAACGAGGTCAGAAAGTTTAACCTGCACTTAACTGACAGAGAAAAAATAACGTAAACACCTTAGAATGTGTGTAAAAAAAAAGCAGATGACACGTTCAGGCCTCTAACGGTCAGGTTGTTTTCCAAATTTCAAATCAACACCCCCCCCCCC